AAAATTTTCAAAATTAAAGTGAAATGACAATGAAGTTTGAGAAATTGGAAAACTTGAAAATTAAAGTGAAATTGGAAAGTTGTCTATAAAATTTTGAGAGACTGGAAAGTTTTAACAAGAAAAAAGTTTAATAAATTAAAAAATTTGAAAAAAATGTACACGTGCGAGCAATTAGAAAGATTGAAAATCCAAATGAATTTTCAAAAGCTTGAGAAGTCGGAAAGTTGTCCAAAAGTTCAAAAATTGGAACAAACTTGAACAAAATTTTTAATAAATTGGGATGCCTAAAGGACTAAGCAACATGCAAAACAAGTCAAGTCAGAATAAAAAAAAGATATTTGAAAACTTGTAAAGTAATGAAAATATGATTTTTTTTTGCAAATAAGCAAAGTTTATTCCAAAAATTTTAAATTAAAAGGATACCAAAAATGTTCGCAAAAACGGAAAACCATGAAAACTTGAAAAAAATAATAGAAAGATCATCTTAAAATTTTAAATTAAAGTGAAATGTAAAAAAATTGCATAATTTGCAAGTTTGAAAAATAAAGTGAAAGTCCAAAGTTTGAGATGTTGGAAATTTGTCAAAATATATGTGCATAATTTGCAAGTTTGAAAAATAAAGTGAAAGTCCAAAGTTTGAGATGTTGGAAATTTTTCAAAATATATGAGAACATGGAGAGTCTAAAATAAGTATGGACAACTAAGTGAAACGCAACACATGCCAACAACTTATGTCTAAGTGGAAAAAAAAAAGATATTTGAACATGTAAATTAAGGAAACTTGAAAAAAGTTTGAGAAATTGAAAAGTCTTGAATATTAAAATTAATCTAAAAAAAGATAGAGAAATTGGAAAGATTTAAAAAATTGAAAAGTTTGAGAATTTGAAAAGTTTGAAAAAAAAGTCAACATGTGAAAATGGCATTTGAAAATTTTGTGTAAGTTATTCTATAATTTAAACAATTGAAAACTTTTCAAGCTTGAAAATTTTTTAAGAGATGGAAAAGTTTAAGGCTTAACATGAAATGTCAAAAATTTTGAGAGATTGCAAAGTTTGTGAACAAGAAAAAAAGTTTAATAAATTTAAAAAAAATTGTAAAAATATACACATGCGAGCAATTAGAAAGTTAGAAAATCCAAATGACAAAAGCTTGAGAATTCAAAAAGTTGCCAAAAAGTTCAAAAATTGGAACTTGAACAAAGTTTGAGAAATTGGAAATTTGTCGAAAAATATGAGAAATGGGAAAGTCTGAAACTTGAGTTATGGACAACTAAGTGAAATGTAACACTTAACAACAATTTATGTCAAAGTGAAAAATAAAAAAGATATTTGAACTTGTAAATTTAGGGAACTTGAAAAAAAAGGTGGAGCAATTGAAAAGTTTTGAAAGTTAGAACTAATCTCAAAAAAGAGATAATTGGAAAGATGTAAAAACTTGAAAGTTTGCGAATTTAGAAAGTTTGAAAAAAAATATATAAACACATGAAAATGGCATTTGAAAAGTTTGTGAAAGTTATTCTATAGTTTAAATAATTGAAAATTTTTCAAGCTTGAAAAAAGTTTTGAGAGATGGAAAGTTTTAAAACATAAAATGAAATGTCAAAATGTTTGAGAAATTTAAAGATTTCAATAATAAATTGAAATGTTCAAAAACATTGTGAAATTGAAAAGTTTGAAAACTTGAAGAAAGTTTGTAAAACTTGTCAAATTGAAAAGTTTGAAAATTAAAGTGAAAAATCAAAAACTTTTGTAAAAGTTGAAGAACTAAGCCAAATACAAAACAAGTCAAGTTATGTCTAAGTTAAGAAAACATATTTTAAAAAATTAGTAACGTCACGAGTTGAAAAAAGTTTGCAAAAGTAGAAAGTTTATTTGAAAATTTTAAAATTATATTAAGATGTGGTTTGAGATCGGAAAGCCATGAAAACTTGAAAAAAATGAGAAATTGGAAAGGTTATTTAGAAAATTTTAAAATTAAAGCGAAGAGTCAAAAAGATCCAGAATTTTTTGTGAAAATCTATATTAATTATTTTAGCTATTGGAACCTTTTCAAGATTAAGACTTTGCTACATCTACAAATATGAAACTGTGAAAATTCAAGAAAATGGAAATTTTGAGAATTAAAATGAAATGTCAAAAGAGGTTGACAAACTAGAAAGTTTGAAAACTTTAAAAAAAAGTATGGTAAAAAAGGAAAGTTTGAAAAAATGTACACATGTTGGAAAATAACAAATTTTTGAGAAATTGAAAAGTTGTCAAAATGTCTGAGGAATTGGAGGGCTTGGAAACTTGAAGAAAGTCTAATAAATTGAGATGTTAGGAAAACGAAGCAAAACACACAGATATCAATGTTAAAAAGAATAAATTTGAAATAACTTTAAAGTCATGAAAAATTGAAAAACAATTGAAAAAATGGAAAGTTTATTTTAAAATTAAAGTAAAATATCAAAAAGAATTAAGAAAATTGAAAACTTCAAAAAAGGTGGACAATTTGGAAATGTTATTATGAAAACTTTAAAATTAAAGTGAAATGTCAAAAATGCTTAAGAAATTAAAAATTTTGACAATTAAAGAAACATCCAAAAGTTTGAGACGTTGGAAAATTGTCAAAAAGTACGAGAAATTTTGAAAACCTGAAAAAGTTCAATGAATTGGGAAGTATGGAGAGAAGCTTGAAGCTTGAAAAAACTTTGAGAACTAGAAAGTTTGAAATTTCAAATTAAATCTGAAAAAAATTTAGGAAAATAGAAATTTACAAAATCTTGAAAGTTTGAGAAATTAAAAATTTTAAAACAATGTAAAGATGTGAAAATTGTATTTGAAAAGTTTGTCAAATTTTGTATTAACTATATATATCGTTGAAAACTTTCCAAGATTACGATTTATTCATAAAATATGAAAACTTGAAATCTTTTCACAAATCGGAAGATTTCAAAATTAAAGCGAAATGTCAAAAGAAGTTGTGAGCCATTGGAAATTTTTACCAACTTGAAAAAAATGGAAAGCTTGGAAAAAATGTATACATGTGAGAAATTAAAGTATGGAGAGAAGCTTGAAGCTTGAAAAAACTTTGAGAACTAGAAAGTTTGAAATTTCAAATTAAATCTGAAAAAAAATTAGGAAAATAGAAATTTACAAAATCTTGAAAGTTTGAGAAATTAAAAATTTTAAAACAATGTAAAGATGTGAAAATTGTATTTGAAAAGTTTGTCAAATTTTGTATTAATTATATAAATCGTTGAAAACTTTCCAAGATTACGATTTATTCATAAAATATGAAAACTTGAAAATCTTTTCACAAATCAGAAGATTTGAAAATTAAAAGCGAAATGTCAAAAGAGGTTGAGCCATTGGAAATTTTTACCAACTTGAAAAAAATGGAAAGCCTGGAAAAAATGTATACATGTGAGAAATTAGAAAGTTTTAAAAACAAAGTGAATTTTCAAAAGCATGAGAAACTGGAAGTTGTCAAAAAGTTTGAGAAACTAGAAAATTTAACCTTGGAAAAAGTTTAATAAATAGGAACGTGTGCAGAACTAAGAAAAATGCAAAACAAGTCAAATTATGTAGAAGTTTAAAAACAAAGATATTTGAGAAAAAATGGAAAGTTTATTTTAAAAATTTTAAAGTTAAAAGTAAAATGTCAAAAAGGTTTGAGATAATGGAAAGCCATGAAAACTTGTAATAGAATTGAGAAATTGGAATGATTATTTTGAAAATTCAAAATTAAAGTGAAAAGTCAAAAAAGATTGAGAAATTATAAATTTTGAAAAGTAAAGTGAAAATGTCAAAAAGGTTTGAGAAAATGGAAACCCATGAAAACTTGAAAAAGGATTGAGAAATTGGAACGATCATTTTGAAAAATTCGAAATTAAAGTGAAACGTCAAAAAAGATTGAGAAATGGGAAAGTTTGAAAATTAAAGTTAAACATCCAAAAGTTTAAGAAATTGGAAAGTTGTCAAAAAGTTTGAGAAATTGGAAAGATTGAAAACTTTAAAAAATAACAAATTACAAAGTATGGAGAATTGAGCAAAATGCAAAACAAGTCAACAACTTTAATTCAAAGTAGAAAAAAAGATATTCAAAAAATTTTGTAAAGTCATAAAAACCATAAAGCGTTTTGAGAAATTGAAGAGTTTGGAAGTTAAAATGAAATCTCAAAAAAGATTTAGAAACTGGAAAGTTATGGAAACTTGAAAGTTTGACAAATTGGAAAGTTTGAAAAAAGATGTCAGCATGTGAAAATGCCAAATGGCATTTGAAAATTTTTTTTGGAAGTTATGTTGAGTTTAAACAATTGAAAACTTTCCTAACTTAAAAAGCATATGCTTACAAAACATAATATACATAACCTTTATACGATCATTAAATAAACAAAGTCAAACCACAATTAGTAGTGCATTAGGGATAAAGGGTTAATAGGTCTGATAATTATCCAGCCATAAAACAATGCTAGGAAACCTAAGGCGGTAATCCTTAGAAGTGAAGAAATCATGAATTAGTGTGTAAAAATTGGTGTGCATTATGAGAAAGTCCAAACAAACTGGAATACATCTCAGGTCAAGAATATGAGTAAATTAAAAATGCCTCCAAGGGGATAGACTTGTGACACCCAAAATATCACTATAAACGGGCTAACGTAGGTTGACATTTGACACTATACAATCTTAAAAAGCCTGTCCAGGATTAATCAGTTGACACAACCTCAATATCAAACTCCAAAGACAAGTGATAATTATAAGTTGATGTGTCACTTACAACAACTAATGAAGAGCAAAACAATGACGAAATACAGACGACACAATCATTAAACCAAAAACATATATATGAATATATGATAAGACTGGATGCGTGAAAAAGTAGAATGGTAGCCATCCATCTATATTAAGTTCTAATGAAGATATTTACATACAGAAACAAACTATACAATAATAAGTGCATACAATAACAAGGTAACAGATTTTGAAGGGAAAAAAATGGGTAGCACGATGTTAAGGTACCTTGCCATTAAGGTTGCCACTTCCAAGCTCCTCTCTTTTTTTATCAACAACTTGTTGTTAACACCCCAAGCTCCTCCGTTTCTTGATCGATCTGCCATAAAGATAAATCCTTTAGCTTCAGGACTAGGGTTTCAGAACAGACATTGGGGAAAGAGGGGGAAAGAAAGAAGGAATTAGAGAGAACCGTTAAGAGGAAATTGTTAGTGCAATTCGATGTAATATACCTCACACCTGGCCGTTAAATTGCAGCTTCCAAGCTTTTCCCTTCCAATCTCCTCAATTTCTTGACCGATCTGCTGACAAAGATGGAAATCCATCAGCTTTAGGGCTTCGGAAAAGATTTTGTGCAGAAAGGGGAAAGAAAAAAAATAAAATCTTTCAAATTCAAAACAAAAAGAGAGAGAGAGAGAAGATGTCTCATGAATTTTTGAGAGAAATCGATAACTAAAAAAACTCGTAAAAGAACGAAAACTAGAGAGAATTGATGTCTAGCTTACCTCCAAACTTTGCCGACTCCGAGCTCGATCGATCGGCCATAAACTTTTGAGTTAGGGTTTCGAGAGAGACATTTGGGGAGAAGAGCGGAAGATAGAGGCTAAAACTGAGGGGAGATTTATGAAGGCGGTTTTATCATAGGGAATAAGGGTTTAATAAGGGATACCTTATTCATTATACTGAAATCCCAATGGAAATAGGATTACTGCGGCGGCGAGGTTTAGAGAGAGCGATCTGATCTGGGAAATAAGGGTTTAAGGGGTATTTATGTCCTAAATTTCAACGGACTCTTTCTTAATTGAGCGTTAAATTGAGGCGATGCCTAAGTTAAGATTCTGTTTCCCCTTCTAGTCCAAATCATTAGTTCACTGTACATGCTAATCTCCTGCACTTTTTAAGTAATAGCGCGCCCCTTCGTAATCATAGCAGTTTCTTTTTGTTCTTTTTTTTATTTTAGTTTTTTGGATGGCAGTTTCTTTTTGTTAGTTTATGGTTTTTTTTGTTTTTTTTAAGGTAGTTTTGGGGTACTAGACTTCTCTGATTATAGTTCATTTTTATTGTTGCCCGATGTGATCAGATGAGGAGAAAATCTTAATTTGGTTAAAAAAACACAATTAAATCATGCTAAACTTCCATTAACTACTATTAATACTCCTCATACACATTAAAGTTGGGCAGCTATGTCTCACTGGATTGTTATTTTTTTAACTTCCAGGTTAGAAACACTCCCCTTATTCTACATGGAGATATTTGAGAATAATAAAAACTTCAACTAGTAAGGAGACGCCACGTCATTTGACCTTGTTTTGGGTGATCATTCTCAACTAGTAAATTTTAATTCAGAAGCTCTTCAGTTATTTTATGGAGATATTTGGGAATATAATAAGTGGTGTTTGGTTGCACAATTTTATAGAAAAGTTTTCTCAAAATGTTTGACAAATGGCAACTCTGTAATTAAAAATTTTCTGCAGATTTCCGTAAATTGTGTTTGGTTCAAAAAAAATTTACAGAAATATTTTTTGTAAAATACAAAAAAAAAATTACAGAAATCAATTTTCTCTCAAAATGGACGGAAATCACTCATAAATCTGACACCGCATTGACACTTTTCTATAAAGTTAAAAATTTTCTATAAATTTAGGGAGCGTTTGGTTTAATTTCTACAAATTATAGAAAATCTTGTTATTTTCTATAAAGTTATGGGTCATTTTCTTGTTTTTGAACCAAACAAGCAAAGTAAAAAAAATAAGAAAATTAGTACTTTTGACTTCTCAAAACTTTTCCTATAATTTTTTTAAGAAATACGAGGAAATCATATTTTTGGTGGAAAACATTTCCTATAATTTGTAGAAATTGAACCAAACACCCCCAATGAGGAAAATTCATGAGCATAAAGAAATCGATTATGGAAAACATTGTATAGGCGCAACTACGCAAAGGCAATAGATCATACACGCGCAACGCATGAGATGTTGCAATTTTGACACGAGAAAGAAGATAAAAAAGTGTCACGGGATATACATAGATGTAGCAAAATCATATAAATTAGTTAACAAACTAGTTGAGCTAGCAAGGTAAATGAGAGCCGTGCAAAATGTAGATAGGTCCAGTGTATCCCAAGCAGCCGATAAACACAACACTAAAACATCGGAGCAAACGATGAAACTTTTGTGCGTCCAGAACCACGAGCAAGCTTGTATCCATGCCCACTCCAAGTACATTATATTTTATGTTACCTGACAGTACATAATGTAATATGCACTACATTCCAGATATTAAGGACACAATGACAGTTACCAAATATTAAGGACTTTATTCAAGTTAGCTGTTGCTAGACTTTTTACAAGCTTTAATCATTTTGTCACAGCTTAGTTACGTACATGCTAGTTTGTGCTAATCAATTAGTCATGGAAGACCCTTTGGCTTATGTATGTACCAAATGGGAGAAATCCAGTTTTAGAAACCTTCAGTTTTAAATATAAATTAGTCCTAAATCTTATTTAACTCCATGTTCTTTTGAACTTGAAAACAACTCAGGTTCTACGCACTGCCAAATTTTACCAGTAATTTATCTCTATTTTACTTCTTTTTTAATTGGTGACTTAGAAAGTTTTAGTCCATTAAAACATCTCATTATACTAAGCTCATTCATATTGCTCGTCTTCTCCCCACTCCACACTCTAGATCAAGAATGTCTTCCTTGAACATAATCCCGGTTATCTGGAAAGCTGGAAATGAGCTCATATTTAGAAAGAAAATCCTGAAGCTGGGCTATGTTGAGAATTTAATGTCGAAACCCCTTTGACAGCAGAAACACAGAATAGAAAAAGTACACCAAGATTTAACGAGGGTCGGCAACTGCCTACGTCCTCAGGAGCCACACAGTAAATTTCTTATTAATCTAACAAGAAATTACAAAGTAAGAGCAGATTTCAAACTTAAGATCTCTCAATAAATACTAATTAATACTGTAGCTACAGTATTAATCTCTCTCTCAAAATACCCCTATTTAATAGAGAATATTCCTCACAATAAATTCTCTCTCCTTTAATAAATCTCCTTTTCAAATCAAACCCCCTTTTCTCAAATCTCTGAGAACAAAAAGGAGCAGAGAGAGGGGGAGAGAAATTGACGCCGCAAAAACGAAAGAGAGAAAGGGGGTGAAGTTTCGCCAGCCGCGACGTGCAACCGATAACGAGAGCAGAGATGATGGAGAGATGAGAGAGACGAGAGGAGCAGCACGAGAGCAGGAGAGAGAGAGAGAGAGAGAGAGAGAGAGAAGAAAAAGCACTGGGGTTAGGGCACAGGGTTCCCCCCTTTTATAGGGAAACCCTAGGATAGCTGGCGACAGACTGTCGTTGCCTATCAACGATCTCGCCTGTGAGGAGCTCGAGCTCGCATGTCACTTGTCGAACTCACCTGCAAGAAGATCTCTAATCTCTCTTACAACTTGTCGCGAGCCGGCCTGGAGCTCACCAACTCGACCTCGCCTGCTCGAGAGCTTCGCCTGCATCTGGTCGTCGACAACCTCGCCTGAAAAATCTCGCCTGTAAGATTTGATCTCCACACTCGACTCAACAATCTCCCACTTGGAGATAAAACCGTCGTCAGTAGGCTATCTCATTAAGCTCATCCTCCTGTATGGCTCCTCCCTCATAACCTATACATGAAGGCCAACTGAAGTTGCGCACAACTTTAGTTTCTGAACAATCACCATCTTTGTTAACATATCTGTTGGATTCTTACTTCCTGGAATCTTCTCCAGTTTCAACACGTCATCTTCCAACAGGGATCTGATGAAGTGGTACCGAAGTGTAATATGCTTCGTTTTAGAATGAAATGCGGAATTCTTAGCCAAGTGAATCGCACTCTGACTATCGCTATGCAAAACATTCTTCTGAAATGCGGAATTCTTAGCCAAGTGAATCGCACTCTGACTATCGCTATGCAAAACATTCTTCTCTTGTTTGAATCTCAGCTCTGTTAACAAACCCTAAAGCCATATCATCTCTTTACTGACTTCAGTCACTGCAACATACTCAGCTCCTGTAGTGGACAGAGTGACAATCTTCTGTATCTGTGACATCCAACTAACAGCTATAGTTCCGACAGTGAATACATAGCTGATGGTGCTTCTTCGGTGACCGACTTTACCTCCAAAGTCTGCATCTACGTACCCTTGCACTTCCACCTCTCCTTTACCAAAGTGCAAACACTTCTGTGTGGTGCCTCGTAGATACCTCAGAATCCACTTGACCGCTTCCTAATGAGCTTTTCCTGGATTCGACATAAATCGGCTGACCACTCCCACTGCATGGTCAACGTCTGGTCTCGTACAGACCATTGCGTACATCAAACTTCCGATAGCTGAGGCGTAAGGGACCTTAGTCATACTCTCTTTCTCTTCATGTGACTTAGAAGATTGATCATTCGATAGGTGAAAATGACTGGCCAATGGTGTGCTCACTGGCTTGGCGTCGCCCATGTTAAATCTCTACAAAACAAGGTTGATGTACTCCGTCTGAGACAACTGCAAGAACCCTTTCTTCTTGTCTCTCGTGATTTGCATTCCAAGGATCTTCTTCGCTGAACTCAAGTCCTTCATGTCAAACTCCTTTGACAGCTGCTACTTCAAACTCCTGATATCCTTCATATCTGCTCCTGTAACCAACATATCATCAACATACAACAGTAGGATGATATAACTGGACTGATATCTTTTGAAGTAGCAATAGTGGTCGGCGTTGCACTTCTGGAAAACTGGACTGATATCTTTTGAAGTAGCAATAGTGGTCGGCGTTGCACTTCTGGAAACCTTCCTTGTGCATGAAGCCGTCAAACTTCTTATACCACTGTCTTGGGGCTTGTTTCAGGCCATACAAGCTCTTCTTGAGTCTGCACACCAGGTTCTTCTTCTTTTCTTCCGAGAAACCTTCTGGCTGGTACATGTATATATCATCTTCTAGATCTCTATGAAGAAACGCCGACTTCACATCTAACTGCTCGAGATGAAGATCTTCAATAGCTACAATACTCATCACTGTCATGATAGTATTTAGCTTCACCACGGGAGCGAAAATATCGGTGTAGTCAATTTCTTCCTTTTGCTTGAATCCTTTGACAACTAATCGGACCTTATATCTTTTGGAGTCATCCTGCTCCTCTTTCATCCGGTACACCCATTTGTTGTGGAGTACCTTCTTACCCGTGAGCAACTCAGCTAGTTCCCACGTCTGGTTTGAGATGAGAGACTTCATCTTATCTTTCATGGCAAGCTCCCACTTGCTCACATCTCTTTCCTGACAAGCTTCATCATAGCTTTCAGGCTCCCCTCCATCTGTCAACAAATAGTTCATGTATCTCCTGTTGGGCACAGGAGGCCGTGAAGATCTCCTCAAAATCGGAGCTGGTGCGTCGGGCTCTTGCGCACCATCTTGTCCAACAGGTTCTTCTGGTTGAGGACCTTCTACATTGGGTTCTTCCGAGAGGTTACTCGGGACATCATCTGCATCTATAAATGTTGACTCGCTCTCTGAGTCATCTGTCATATGTATATCTTTGTACATTACCTTCTCGTTGAATATCACATCTCTTCTCCTGATCATCTTCTTGTTTTCGTTGTCCCAAATGTGGTAGCCGAACTCATCTTCACCATAGTCG